GACAGTTTAACTTCTTCATTGCCAATTTGGATGCACTTTATTTCTTCTTCTTGCCTTACTGCTCTAGCTAGAACTTCCAGCACAATGTTAAATAGGAGTGGTGATAAAGGGCATCCTTGTCTTGTTCCTGTTTTCAAGGCAAAGTTTTCAGCCTCTCTCCATTAAGAATGATGTTGGCCATTGGTTTTGCATAGATGCCGAAAGGACATTACTTTTGCCAACTATCCCCTCCCTCTCCTTTATCTCTACTTCTCCCCTCTCTTCTAGAGCATACATCAGTCATGGGGGAATTTTTTTTGGGTGGTGTAAATGTTCAAAAACTAGACTGTGGTGACAGCTGCACAATTGTAAACTTGCTAAAAATCATTGAATTGTACCTTTAAAAAAATGGATGAATTTTATAGTATGTAAATTATACCTCAGTAACATTGTAAAAAGAAAAAAAGAAGAAGAAAAGATTACATTCTAGCAGATTTTTGTTCTGTTAAATTTTGTTATCACTTTTAGGCCAAAATATTAAATTGACTTGATCTCTTAATAAAAATAAGTTTTGGAAAACCAGTAGGTGACCCATCCTCAAATATAATGGATGGTCTATTTATAAAACGTATTGCACACATCACTATTTCCTTATAACAGCCTGAAATTACTGACTCCTGGCTCATTTAAGCTGACATTATTGGCAGGAAACAGTTATGAAGCTCATCATCTTCATGCAATCGAGCCATAAGGAATTCAGCTTGTGATACTTTCCATCGGTCAAGTGCTGGTGTCATCTCAGCATGGCAGAGTTAAAGGATCATCAAATTTCAACTTGAAACATGCTTAGCTATTCCCACACCACCCCCACGACTATTTTAATATCATTTAAATCAGCGAATATCAAGGTGTGCTTGTGTGATGGTAGAAAGGGGTGTGGAGATACAAACAGAATCACCAAGCAGGCGTTTTCAACCTGTACAACAGGTGATAAAAGGTGGATTGTACCTCTTCCCAACCAGCGTGATGGAATAAAATTGGGTCATACCTCACACCTGTCGGAAGTACTCGCGCAGAAAAAAGGTTGAGAATCACTGATTTTAATGAAGCTTGATATTCATCGTAAGAGTAAAGACATTTAGGACACTTATTAATTACTTTTAGGAGAGTATTTAAAAATTATTGAACAGAATCCTGAGTTTTCATTATATCTAAAGAGAAATGCTAAATACTTTAGTTATCGCTTGTATTTTAATAAGATATAATAAGAGTCCATGTAGGAGGCGATTAAAGCCCAAATGAACACCACTATCAAATCAAATGAAACTGCAGCTCAATCAAACTGACGATGTTGATTCTACTCACCTCGCTACAGATACATTGGAACATAAATTTAATTAAATATATGTTTTTACAGTTATGAAAATTAGCTCAAGGAAGTTTTTCTCTAGTTTTAAAAATGCACTTCTTTCAGTATGCCATATAAAAGGCAATACTCTGTAAAAATACTCTTCTTGCTATAGATAAAGTATAAAAGATCAAAAGAAGAAAATACTAAATTAGCTCTGTCAGCCCAACACAGTTTTATAGTTTGAGCAGGATATTTTTCACACAGCTGTTACCAGAACACCTGCTGCCACTCGGCTCACAAGCACACCCCTGAACTTGCACCTGCACAGCTTCAGTGGAACATACTGACTCCAGAACACTCCTTGAAGAGTCTGTTTAACTTTGGTAAAACTGCTCTCGAAATGCATTTTAAACTGAGTACTATACCCATGAAGAGATACTGCCTTATGTCCTACTAATGCAATTTTTCTTATTTAATAAACAGTTATGTATTTATTAACTTGAAACTGGTAGCTAAGGAATCTCTCAAAACTATTTTTGAAAACCCACTGCAATCACCACCATGACATTATAAACATTATAAAATATGCCAGACTACATTCATGGAGTTTGCTAGCTCCACTCTTCTCTAAAATTCTGGGATAGATTTTCACCATTTCAGTGTTCATAAAGCAATAAAACAGCAAGGACAAAAGGACACTGTTCCAGTACTGTGAATAAGAGGCATAGAATGGCTGAAGTTATTAACTATATTACCAATACAAAGGAGTTTAAAAATAAAATTTGTCACAAAGGAAAATCACTGCAGGAACACAATTCAAATAAATCTGGTTCCCATTAAAAGAACTCTGCCAGTAAAGTTTAATAAAATTAGCAACATGACAAGAAATATCCTAGCTATTCAAATATACTGTCATATAAGAATAATTAGAAACCCA